GCAGGGGCACAGGTGGGCTGCGCCCCTGCCTGCTGGATCCTAGGGCCCACTCCAATGCAGCATTCCAAATCGTGACCAGATTCCGCCCACCCCTTCCCCACACAAGCACCCATCAACACATTGTTGCGCACACACACCAGCGCACATGCGCCCACACCACGCACATGCACGTACTCCCGCGCGGCAACACGCACCTTGGAAGACCGCCGACTTCTGCAGGTACTCGGGGTACGACCCCCACCCATCAAAGATGTCCTGGGGGTTATGGGGGTTGCAAGGGTGGCGCACAACCAGGGTCAAGGGGCAGCACATCACAACTTCATCCACAAAATGCTGCAGCCTCCGCCCCCCCAGCGAGCGGTCTGGCCGGCAGCGTCTACGTTGCCTGGCGTGGGGCCGGGGAGGAGAAAGCTTGAGCAGCGAGCAGAGCAGAGAGGTGGCACTGGGAGAGATGGCGCAGCCCTTCCCTCGGCCCCCGTGCCTCCCTTTGAGCCCTGCCCAGCTGCTGCTTGTGGGCTGACGCCGGCAGTGAATCATGGCTGCTTGCGCACTGTTCCAGGACCCTGGCCACCCCGTCCCATTTCAACGCAGTGCGACCCACGTGGTCATCCCAGGTGTACACGTAGGGTATGGAGGCCAGCCCCCGCGCAAAGCTGGGGTCCTCGGTGAAGTGCCTTTTCAAACGAGGGACGGGAGTGGACGGGAGTAGATGGGATGGGTGGGTGGGGCCGGGCGGTGGCAGGGCGCGGACGCACTGGGACCATCAACAGCTGTGGTGGGTTGTTCTGGGTCGTGCTGGGTCCTGCTGGGCGCTATTGTCGTGAGCAGACCCCGTGTCAGCGGGGCGACAGTCCCCACGGCATCAGTGACCAGGGCATCGCCAAATCCATGCGGCATTCAGTGCGGGGCGCCAGGCGGCGCGCACCTGCAGTAGTGCCCAAAGTAGTACTGCTCCACCTCCTCGAGCATGGGCGCGGTGAACGGCTGCCGCGCACGCGCCTGCATGTGTGCGGGGGGAAGGAGAGCACGCGAGAGGGCAGATGCGTGCCAGCTTGTGCACGCGTGCATGCGTGCGCGGATGTCTTGTGCGTGCGTGGATGTCTTGTGGGCTGGAGGGGGGTGATGACGAGTGGGGCTCAGGCCCTTGAACCCGTAAATTGCAGGTGCTGCTGGTCCAGCGGGTATGGGATTAGCGGGGAAGCCGCGGCCCACACACGCCCCAGAGGCTGCCCGGGTGAGCCGAGCCTCTTAGGCCCAGGTTGGCGAGGGGAGTCCCCTTGGCACGCATGACCGCCGCCTGTCTGATCACACGGACGCACGCACACACACAGACACGCACACGCACAGACGCGCGTGCACGAGGCATAGGGCGCGACGCTCGTGTTGCGTGGTGTGACGTCACGCTGAGTCATGCAGCGTTGCGCGGCCCTCACGTGTGCGTCGTCTATGGCCACCCAGGGCAGCACCGCCGGCAGGGACCACACGTCATCGCAGTAGATCTGGGGTGGCGGGTTACAGGGGTGGGGAGGGGGGTCCAGGGGCACACTAGATCGCAGATTCAGCTACATCAGAGTGTGATGAACAAGAGGACGATCAGAGTACAACGAACAAACGGTTTTCAACATGGGCTTGCGTGGGAGGAGGTAGGGTTTTCCGTGCACCTCCAGCCAACGCAGCAGCAGAGGGCATTGGTGGAGCGCGCAGGCCTTTTGCAGGCGAGGTCAAACGCAGTCAAACACGGTCAAGCCGGCTCACCTGGTCGCCGCCGCCGACCTGGAGGTGGAACTTGATCTGGTCGTGGCGCGCCATGAGGTCACCCCACATGTGACCTGCGGACGGCGGCGGGATACAGGGTGCAAATGAGCTCAACAAGCAGCCAAGCCGAAAGTTGGCGCTGGGCGCCTTGCATGGCCGTAGGTGGTGACAGCCGGGGGCGCAGATCGGGCGCACGCGGCGCGACGGCGTCTCGAGACGCGCCTCGGCGATGCGACCTCAATCCACCCTGCTATGCCCGCGGGGCATTGGCGCCGCGGCGCCGCTTCGTTGGCTGTCAGCCACAGGCCCCTTGCTGCCTGCGACGCACACAAGCGCGGCCCCCACTGCCAACGACCTGCCTCCCCCCCTTCCTCACCTATGCCGCCGTATTTGGCCTCCACAGCGGCGTCGTGGAAGCCGTTGCAGCTGTCGAAGCAGACATTCAAACGCAGGAGGTGGGAAACGTGACCAGACTGCACTCGGCAGCTGCCAAGGACGACCGTGCCGCAGGCTGACTCACCGAACTGGACGTCTACGTTGCTGGCTTGGCCGTGACCCGCCGCGGCTGGGCGCAGCCGCAGACGCACTGCTGCTGCCCTTGCGCGGCATGCGACCCCCACCCAATCTTGCAGCTCTCTGGTGGGTGCCCTCACGCCGCACAAACACACGCAATCCCTCACAACGCCTCGTACCCCAAGAGCCCGACCTTACCC